TATAGTGCAAATATAGTGTAATGTATAGTATTTTGGACCACAGCATAATAGAGACTGTGAAATGTTTAAATGCTTTTTCATGTAACTAACTCAGAAGATGGTGTAAAATAATTAGGTGATTTCCCACATTGGGGGATTATCTTATCTAAAAGACAAGATAACAAAAAAAAAAAAGAGCACTGAGAAAAAGGAGAAGAATTTATTGACCCTCATTATCAGGGAGTGAAAATACAACATGGTTGAACCACAAGAAGAAATAAAATGTATTCGTTTAATCTACAAGACGGCATGAAGACAAGTCAAAGGTTAAAACTAAGCAGAAGAACTCAAAAACTAAACTCAAAGGAATGTTTGAATATGTATAAACTTTGTGAATATGCATGTACCCCCTGTGAGGCAACAGGATATAGAGAACATGGATTAAGTTAAGGTGTGCATTTGGCAAAGAGCCAAGCGCCCCAGCGCTGGATTTTATCCTTTTATCCCTTAATAAACTTTTATAAAATTGTCAATAGTGAGCTGTGTTTCTCCCAGGAAGGACAGAGCAAACATTTCCCAGGACTGAGCAGGACTGGGGCTGGTGGTGACTGGGAGCTGGACAGGAGATTTGGGCACTAGCTGAGCCCAGATCAGCTCTTGGACAAACTTGGGAATTTCCTGGTGCTCTGTTTGCTCACCTGTGACGGCAGCAGCAGCATGGACACAAAGCTTTGTGTCCTAACCCCACCCCTCGTCCCTTCCACAGAGCAAACCCCAAAATTTCCTCCCAAATCCCGCCCCCCCCGCAAAATTCCCCAGTCCCCCTAAATTCTCTGCCAACTCCACCCAAATCCCCTCTAAATTTCTCAACCCCCCCCCTTAACCCCCAATCCCTCCCATATACCCTCAAATTTCTCAAAATTCCCCCAAGCCCCCTTAAATCCCCTGTAAACCCCCTCATGCCCCCCAAATCCCCTCCATACACCCAATTGCTCCCATATCCCCCCCAAATTCCCCAAAATTCTCTCAAACTCCCTTAAATCTCCTCTAAACCTTCCCATGGCTCCCAAATACCCCCTTAACCCTCCCAGTTTTCCCCAATTCTCCCCAAATCCCCCTAAACCCTCTCAGCCCTCCCAAAAGTTCACAAATCTTTCCGAACTTCCACAAATGCCCCCCAACCCCCCTCAAATCCCCCTGAACCCC